TTTTTTTTTTTTTTTTTTTTTTTTTTTTTTTTCTGGGTTCCCTATTTTTTTTGCAAGGTGCCACCCAGTGCCAGCTGTGCCCGGCTGTGGGGTGGGGAGCGCCTGCTGCACAGCCAGCCCCTGCTCCTTGTGGCATTCAGCACCTTGCTGCCGAGTTTTGTGGGGTTTTTTTCCTAAAAGTAAGTGGGTTTTGGGGGAATCCAAATTTTGCCAGGAAGGACACAGGGCTGGCATCCAGCCCTGAAAGGAGGTGGCTGAAAAATGTTCTGCGGGGGAAAGTGCCCAACAAATCTATTCTTTTTCCCCAAAAAAAATAAACCCCGACACCAACAGCACTGTTTTACTGTCACGAGTGCTGCCTGTGCATCTAAGGTCCCTCCTGCCTTGTTTTGGTGGGTGAAGCAGCTTTGTAATGATGATGCAGTCCCTAGGGTGCACATCCAAAACCCTATTGGCACCTGGAATGCAGGGAACTCCCCTCACTGGCTCCCTGAGGCAGCAAGAAGCTGACTGTTCCTGTAAATTAATGGCAATCAAAGGAAAATGTGGTTTAGAGCAGTGCTTGGGCAGGTAGTTCCCTAGAGAAGCTCAGGGCAGGAGGTGGATGAGAGGTGGGAGGGAGGGATAGTGATGGATAAAAGCACCTGCACGTTGCCTGCCCTGCTGACCACTGCACGTCTTGTTGTGTAGAGTACTCCATCCCTGTCCACAAATACTACTTCCCCTTCATCTTCCTTCTGGGAATGATCCTGTGGTCCCTGCTAGAGTACCTCATCCATCGCTTTGTCTTCCACATGAAGCCACCTGCTAGTAACTACTATCTCATCACCCTGCATTTCTTGCTGCATGGTCAGCATCACAAGGTGAGTTGCAGCTCCCGCCTCCGCTGGCGCCTGCAGGGCCGTGGGAATGGTGGCCTTTGCCCCACTGGAGCCTGTTACTGCGTGGCCTTTGCCCAGGCAGAGCCTGTTCGTGCCTGCTCAGTGTGACTGGTGGCATCTCAAGCAAGGCACTTACCCAATACCAGCGAGTGCTGCAAAACAGCCTTGGAGAAGCTGGAGTTAAATTTTCAAGCTGTGTGGTTGGGCAAGGGGGGAGACCAAAAGAGCCACAGGCTCCCTCTAGCTTTGCTGGAGGAAATGGCCCTGTGGAGTTTGGGCACCTGCCAGATAGAATCACCACCTGCCTGGGCACCTTGGCACACGTGGGGGGCTGCTCTCACCACCGGGTACAATTAGGGGAGGGTTTTTGGTGTTGGCTTCTCACAGATGAGTTTCCCCAATGCTTGGCAGGGATGTGCTGGAGGGTGAGCTAAGAGCTGCTTGTCCCACCATCCTCTCTGCTTCCAGTCTCCCTTCGACAGTTCCCGCCTGGTCTTCCCTCCTGTGCCAGCCGCGCTGGTGATCGGCTTCTTCTACGGAGTCCTGCAGCTCCTGCTGCCCGAGATGCTGGGGCTGGCGGTGTTCGTCGGGGGCCTCTGCGGCTACGTCATCTACGACATGATGCACTATTACCTCCACTACGGCTCACCCAAAAAGGGCACCTACCTGTATGGCCTGAAGGCTTATCATGTCAAGCACCACTTTGAACACCAAAGATCAGGTAGCACCATGTTCCCCACGCGTGCTGGCAGGGGCAAGGGCTGTCAAAGATCAAGTCTACCTGCATGTGTGCAGCTGATTGTTCCAAAATATTTGGGATTTGGGATGAGGAAAGCCAAGCACTGCACTGTTGGGGAAGCAGCATGTGATGTGCTGTAGCCCACGGAGAATATTTCCTGGCTCCCAGGTTGAGGATGGGGAGCCAGAGCAGTGCAGGGGTGAAAGCAGCAGCCCATCTCACTGGTGGGTGTCAGTGCTGCTTGGAATGTCAGGGCAGAGGCCAAACCCCCATACTGGTGGGATATGGGTGCCTGTCTTTCCCCAGGACAGCATCTCTTCTTGCTGGGAGGCTTTGACAGGTGTAGGGTGAGGCCCTGGGCTTCCCCAGATCCACCCCACACTTTCCCTAGCCCAGTGCTTGCTCAACTTGCCCTTTGCCCGGTTTCCTAGGAGAAAACGCCCCATCCAGATAAGCTATCATCCATGGGGCTTGTTGGCATGGCCCAGCCAGCTCCTGCTCCCTCTGCTCTTCCTCCTTGTCCTCACTTTGCCTTCCTCCCTTCCCAAAATGTGGACACTCCTCCCTCGCCATTTAACACAGAGCCCTTGCAACACCTCAATGATGCCATGGGCTGAACTCTTTCTTCCCTGCCCACAGGTTTTGGCATCAGCACACGCTTCTGGGATTATCCTTTCCGGACACTCATCCCTGAGGAGACCTTCAAGAAAGAGGACTGACAGCCCCAGCCCAGTGCTCAGCTGCCAGCTCAGTACTCCCAGCACTGGGGCTGGTGTCCCTCCCCAGCCCCCAGCGAGGCCAGCTGGTCCCTGCCCCCTTCCTGAGAGCTGTGCCACAGCAGTGACTCCAAACACAGCATCCCTGTGGAATGCTGTGGTCCAGCTGTGGCACTGGGAAGGGGATGTGGGACTGAGGATGGTGAGGCAAGGGGAGGAGGAAGCTGTGGGGTTCCCTGATGGACTCCTGCCCCTACCTCACTGCCCTCCTGCTCCAGGCTATGGATGCACGGGCAGATCTGCTGCCTGAAAGATGAAGTGCCTGATGCTGCCCTCCCTCCTCTGCCCTGGGACCTTGCCAGAGCCCCTGTCTCTCCTGGGGTGCTCTCTCCCCAGGGCATCCAACACACTGCAGTTACCCCTATTGCCTAACTCATGCCGAGGGGATTCCCTGTCCTAGGTCCTTCTCCTGGCCTGATCTCAGCACAGGGTTTTCTTGGCCTGCAGCCCTTTTGGGGTGGGTCCTGCAGGTCTGGACTGTGCCTTTTTCTAACCAGTGCACCTGTATCTCTGCCAGATTTATCAATTTCATGGTTTTCTTAGACATTGGCTACTTGAAACTCAAACTCCAATGAAAAAAATTACTGAGATGCCTTTTTTGCTGATCCTGTGATTTTATTTTTTATTATTTTTTCCCTAGTGTTTACTGCAGATATTTAAACATTTGAAATAAATTTATATGTAAAACTATAGACACTACAATTGTAAATAAACTGTATATTTTGAAAAATAAAACTTTCTAAAAAGGGTCTGGCAAATGTATCCCCCAGGGCTGTTCTCCCACCCTTCATGTATCCCTTTTCCAGGTGCTGATGGCCCTTGGAGCCACCATTCCTGGCTCCCCTCATCCACCACGGTGAGGTAGGAGATTTGCAGGGGATATTCTCAGCAAACCTGTGTGACACTGGGGCTCTGGGTAAGCAGAAGCTGCCACTCACTTCTCTGAAGTTGGGCAATAGTGTCGCGTGCACCCCAGAGCTTCCCAAAATCAGCCTGGCCCTCTGACGAAGCCATCTGCAAAACTTCCTGTGCTCCCAGCAGAGGTCAAGCCCTCTTTCCAGCACTGGTGCCCACAGCCCATCTCCTTTGGTCTTGGGGGCTCCTGGGGCTCAGGGATGGGGAGAGGAGCAGGGCTGTGCTCTGGAGGGTCTCACTGCACATTCAGGAAGTTCAGCAGGGCACAGAGACCTTGCTGTGGGTGTTCCAGTGCCCTGGGCAAGCCTTCCCACAGCTGCCAGCACAGCAGAATGGGCTGTGTGCTCAAAGTAGCAGAAACATCAATGCAGGGGGACACAACTTCCCCATCCCCTTTTTCCCACTGCGCTTCCTGTGGGCAATTCCTTCTTCCATCGGGCAAAACCCAGCACTGGGGCATACAGCCCTTGGGAATACCCCAAGTAGCTTTCTGGGAACTGGGAGCTGTGATGGCGTGGGAAGCTGGGTTGCACAATGTCCCTTCCGCTGTGACACCCTTTAAACCCGCGCTCGTCCTGCCGTGCCCCTCCAGACTGCGGAGGCAGCCGAGGCCAGCCAAGCAGGACCAGGTAACAGACACTTTCTCTTGGACAGTGGAGATCCTTCCTTGGGGGCAGGGGGAGAGAGCCTAAAGAGAGTGGCTGCAGCTGGATCTTGGGTGCGTTTCCATCTCGTTTCCAGCCAGTAGAACCTGGCACCCCCTCTCTTAGTGCTGGCTGCATCAGAGGGGCTGCTGCTATTTCCCTGCAACAGGGGTGGTTTTCTGTCCTTGCTGGCTGCATGTGGGCTGGGGAGCAGGCACCATCCCTGTGGGGATGCTGAGCGCATAGAAAGAGCTTGATTCAAAATTTTATATGGGCAGAACAGAGCTATGGGGAGAAAATGTGGAGAAGCTGTGGCTGTGAAGATGTGCAAGCTTTTATCAGATGGCTGGCCACACAGAGAGACATTGGGCAGAAATGAAAATAGATCTTTACAGCCAAAGGTACGGACTCTGGGGACAGGAACCCAGGGTGATACAGGGCCCAGAGTCAGGAATGCTGCCCAGGGGATGCTCCTTGGGTCATTATGTCCCTGCTCCTCTGGGTGGAAGATCTCTGGGATGGTTCACACTAAATTAATGTACATAAATCAACAAAACATCTCTTGCTAATGCAGAGAAAGATGTGCCACTACTGCTGCTACTGATGTCTGTGTGTGTGCCTGCTCCAGTCTGCATGAGCAGGTGCAGTGCCAGGCAAAGCAGGGAAAGCAAAGCAGCTGGAGATGTGAGGGGCTGTGGGAGGACATGTGCCATATCAGGGTGTTCCTTAGGGTGGAAGGCGTGGAAGAGCTGCATCTAGCTGATCTCTGAGCAACGCCTGAGGCTTACCTGCACCAGACAGTGACAGCCCACATCCCCAGTGGTCAAGCCCTTTGCTGCAAGCATGGACATCGTGGAGAGGGTCCTCTCTGTGGCCCAGGCCATCTATGCCCAATTCGAGCAGGTGAAGTGCTGTAAGCACCAGTGCCAGCGCCTCGTGGAGCGCATCCAGATTCTGCTGGAGCCTGTGAGGATCCTTAGGGCTCAGCCACGACAGCACATCTCCCACCATGAAGAGGAACTGATGAAAAAGCTGCTCCAGGCACTGGGGGAAGCCCAGAAACTGGTGATGAAATACAGCCAGACCAGCTGGATCCAGAAGTTTCTGCGAGCCCGAAGTACTGGTGAGGAGTTTGTCCGGGTGAATGAAAGCCTGGAGGACATTGCCCAGGGGCTCTCACTCCTGCTGCAGGCAGAGCAGAAGCAGGCTTTCCTGGAAGCTTTCCAGTCAAAGATATGTCGCAGGCAGGATGCTGAGGACCTGAAGGATGACAGAGCTTTCTTGGACCAGGTGATTGCAAGTGAGTGCATTTAGCAAAACCTCTTTGCCTGCGACTGGTGGTTGACCCCTCTCTCCAGCTGCTGCCTAGATCTGGCTTGATGGCCATGGCCATGAAGAGCCGTAAGGACATTTAAACCACAAAAAAAACAAACTACACGGTCGTGCTTGTTCATCCAGTGGCCCAACCTCTGCTTGTTTCTCTCCCTAGGTACTGAGGAGCCCAAAGATGTGGTTGAGAAGATCTACAGTGACAGGGAGTATATGGAGAGCAAGGTGGACTGGATGCAAAGCGAGCTGAACAAAGTCATTCGTGAGATGGAGCGTAAGTCGGTGTCACACCACCTGCACCCTGTGCACTGTGTCCTTTCCCCACAAGCCCTGCCTAATGTATCCCTTGTTCCCTTCTGGCACATGGTGGGAGCAGGTTTGAAGAAGGTCAATGTTGGTAAAAGAGAAGACATCACTGAGATCAAGAGAGACCACCTCACTTTCCACAGGCACCTGCAGGACACAGAGAGCTATGACCTTTATGAGGGCGAGTACCTCAAGTACCCTGTTGCCATCAAATCCTTCAAGAGGCCACTGACCACTGACCCAGTGTGAGTTGTCCTGGGTGGGAACAAGTGTGGCCCCAGAAGGGTGGCACAGCACTATGTCATGCCTTGTTTCAGGGATCTCACTGTGCTGTCCATTTCCACAGCAAGGTGAGAGACATCTTTGAGAAGGAGATTCAGACCCTAAAGAAGTTTGAGTCTCCAAACATCCTGCGCATGTACGGGATCTGCATTGAGGAGAATGGTAGGGCTGTCACATTAATGTCACCCTTTTCCAACCCTGCCATCCCCAGGGCTAGCTGGTGGCACATGCCTTGTGGTCCCCTCCCAAGAGATGGCACAAGGCAGGATGCTTTTGCCTTGCAGATGGGAGTCCCTGCTTCTCCATTATCATGGAGTACTGTAAGCATGGGACACTGCGGGATGTGCTGAACAAGCAGCAGCATCTTTCCTGGGATATCCGAATTCGGATGGCCCTGGGAGCTGCCAGAGGCCTTTATAGGTGAGCACCTGTATAAATCAGTGAGTAACTCCACCCGATAATCCAGAAGCTGAGTACAGCCTCCTGGCATCTCCGAGTAAGCCGTAGTATCCTGTTAGACACTAATTCCCAGTGACACCACCTTGGGACACTGGAATGGGAGGCTGGTGAAGGGGTAGGATTTGGATGCAGTAGTTCCCATCTACCCTGGTCACTGTCCCCTACATATGGCTTCAAGCCTACAATGGCCTGGAAGGGGAAAATCCCCTTCCCCAGATCTACAGGGCAGATTTGGAAGTACGCTACAGCATGGCCAGTTATCCTTACAGGTCCTGCTCATACACAAGGCTTGTGGCTTTGCCCACAGCAGCTCTTCCAGCCCCTGCTGGAAAGGTTGGCTTGGCACGGTTGATCCACGAAGACAGGCAGAGAGCTGCTGGCTTCTCTGGAAGCATGTCAGTCATTCCCGTCACAGCAGGAGGGAGGGCCAAGGTGGGGATGGGTCAGTCCAACGTTGTCGTCATCATCATCATCATCATCATCACCACCATCATCATCATGTGTTACCCTTGGTTCCATCCATCTGCAGGTTGCACCAGACAGGGGAGAAGTCCCGACTCCATGGCTGCATCTGCAGTAGCAAGTTCCTGGTGGCTGGGGATTACTGTGTAAAGGTAAGCATCACACTTGGAGATGCTTTTGTGAGTTTTAAATGGTTTTGTGGATGTCTCCACCTAAGAACACTGAAGGGAATTGTGATGGTCCAGGATAAAACAGGGTAGAGCCATCTGCCCAATAACTTTAGGTACTTAAACCTCCCTATCTTGGTCTTATCACCAGCAAAATGAGTGTTCCTAAACCATCCAGCCTGGGATGAGCTGAAGCTGTGACAATTCACCTGCCTTCACCTCTGGTTTTGCTTGCAGGAAGAGACCCGTGCTGGGCAGTACACATGGCTGCACACCAGCCTTTGCTGCCCAGGGCACCTCACTCTGCTCTCTCCATCTCAGGTGCAGTCAGCTGCACCACAGGTTTCTACTTCTCTTTTTCTCATTCTCTCAATCAGCTGTCAGGATTTGAGCTGTGTGAAACAGAATCATCCATCAAGAGGAAAGCCAAGAAGGAATGGAAACAAATCTCTATGTTGGCTTACATCGCTCCAGAGAACCTGAAAGACATCAACTACCCTTATAAGAGGCCCTGTGAAATATACAGGTGTGTCTGTCCCTCCCAGGAGATACCTCTGAGTAGGCAGGTGTCTGTCAGAGTAGCTGCTGAGCTATGGAAGGAGGCCAGTTTTAATCGGATACACAAGCAGGTGCTTCCAGTTGGCATAGCCCAACAGTCCTCTCCATTAGAAGGGAGGAATACATGGTGGAATGAATACTGAGACTCTTGCTTTTCTCCTTCCAGCTTTGGGATCGTTCTGGCAGAGATTGCAACCTCCAAAATCCCATTTGAAGGTGAGACAGAAGAATCTGGTTCCCTGTGTAAAACCCACATGTCACATTGTGGTTCCTGTCTGGCACTGTACGCTTCCTGCTCCTTCCCTGAGCATCCCATGCAAGTGCCAGTGGCAGTGCCTGGTGTGCCTGATTCTGCATAACAGCTTCATAACTTCCCCTGAAACTCCAATATAGTAAAGTACAGCTTATAGTAAATCAATCTGCTTAAACCACAAACATGCAAATAATTTTTGTTTCTATTGGATGGTCCTGTGCATTTAAGCGTAAACACATCTTGCTCTACTGGAGCCCAACAGTGTCATGCCAAATACAGTGGGATTCATTGCAGATGGAGTTTGGGTCACTTCCCTGCTGGCTGCTCCCTGCCAAAGGCTGCAGGCAGGCTCTCAGCATGGCTTTGCTCTGCGCTTCCTCCCCAGCACCCTCCTGTGGCAGCAGAGTTCCATCCTGACACTCCTGTTTGCACTTCTTGTCTAGGCTGCACTCCTGAGGAGATTGTGGAGAAAATCTGCAATCACCATTACTGGGACCCTCTTGGGGAAGATTGTCCTGAAGACCTGAGGAAAGTCATTGAACAGTGCCGGGCCTTTGACCCTTCTCAACGCCCTTCTGCTGAGGGTAAGTGTCCCAGACACCTGCTCCACAGGCCCTTTGCATCCTTCAGTCAGCTACTTCAGCAGACAGTTTGCCCCTTAATTCCCACATGAATTTGCCTGGCTTTGTGTTTTGGGATCCTGCCTTGACCTTCCTTTTTATACTAACAAGTTCCCCAATTCCAGACCTCACACATTAACATGTATTTAACGTGTTAATAATAACATGACAATAATCACCAAGCTGTTTGTTCATTTGGCATCACATAAAAGTAGCTTTTTCTCTCAGACAAGTACTGAACTGGAAATAGGGGTCTGTGAGTTAATCCCCACACATGTCCTGCAGATCCCATAAGCTGGAGGAGTAGCCTCAACGCTCTGCAGGAACATTTCCTGCCTTGGCCTTTGAGCAATAAGTTGCAGTCTTGGGCATTGCTCTATGACAGGGAAGTTTTCACTCTCTCTGAAGCTGGTTTGTGTCTGATCAGATGAGTAACTGGTCTCCATCAGGAGATACAACAGTTACATCAAGAAATTAGAGAGAAATGCTTCTGGTGTGTTTGAAGTCAAAGAGGTCGTACCCTTCCCTTGGTTCATCTGTCTAATGGGAGAAAACTTCCTTCAGTCTCATCCACTCCATCCCATGGAACCAGATCCATACAAGAGATGTGGGAAATGTGCCCAAGAAACCAAGTGTCACATCTATGTGCTTCCATTTCCCACCAGCACCTTCCTCAGCAGACCCTGGCACAGGGAATTGCCCTGGCTGAAGCAAAAACACCAAAATATCATTAGAGACATTGGCAAAGCCACACTGAGGAAACAGGATGGCTTTTTTAGTCTAATATGACCCTAATCCAACACCCACCACTGTGTGGTGCTGAGCTGGAAGGACAGCTTATTGCAGCTGTTCACGAAGGAGTTTCCATAAACACTGCTACATCTGTTTGGGCTGTGCTGTCTGCTCAGGCCTGTCCCCTGCTAATCCCTGCCCCTCTGTGCTGGCCCGAGGGGAGTGTGACTGCATGTCCCGGTTGTTACCAGTGAGGGAAAGCCATCTTCTCATCTGTTAAAAAAATCCGAACAAGCCCGCAAGAAATCCTCTGTGTTGATTAATGCCGTCCTTGTGTTTTGCAGAGATTGTGGACTCGCTGGCTGACCTGGAGAAAAGCAGAAACCAAGGAAGTTAACAGTGGAAAACGGGGCCAGGTGACCAGGGGCAGCAAGCCAAGGGTACCACTTGTCCCTCTTCCCCCTCACAGAGACAGATGGTTCAATACTTCTGCGTTTGTTTCTGTGCGTGACAGCTTCGCCTCGCCAAGGGGCCGTGCCTGGGTGGCCTCAGGGGCAGCTGGGGAGTGAGGTGACTTGAGGAGAGGCTGTCAAGGAGCCTAGGGGGACCAGAGGAATGGAACATATCTTCTTTTAAAAGAAAAGGCTGAGGGAGCTGAGCCTGTTCAGCCTTGAGAAGAGATGGCGACTGACATGAGAGCCCATCAGTGTCTGTCCCTATTTGAAGAGAGACTTCAGAGCATGGACCAGGCTCTGCTGGGCGGCACCCAGCAATAGGACAAAAGCCAAAGGGCAGAAAATGATCCATAGGAAGTTTCACTTGAATATGAGGAAGAATTTCTTTTCTGTGCGGGTGATCATACACTGGAACATTGCTCAGAGAGGGTGTGGAGTTTTCCTCACTGGCGATATTCCAGAAACATCTGGATGCAATGCTGTGAAACAGGAGGTGGGACCAGATGATTCACCGTGCTCCTTCCAACCTGACCCGTTCTGTGATCCTCCTCGGGCCCGCTCCTGCCCACGGGGCGCCGGGGCCCGGCTACCCTGGGGCCACCTCCGGCTCCCCTTGGGCTCCCCCTGTTCCTCCCAAACCCTTTCCGGTTCCGCTCGCCTCCTCTCGGGGTTCCCCTTGGTTTTCCCCGGGCCCCTCCCCAGCTTCCCCCCCGTTCTCCCCCGTTCTCCCCGGTTCCCCCGGACTTCTCCAGTTCTCCCCCGGTTCTCCCGGGCTCACCCCGGGCCCACCCCGCGGCGGCGGCCCCGCCGCCATGGCAACGCCCCGCCCACCTCCCCGGTTTGAATGAATTTGCGTTCCCGCTCTTTTCTCCCCGCGTCGTTTCCGCCAATGAAAACTCACTCTCCTGCTTTTGCCCCGCCCCCAGCCATCAGGGGCCATCTTGTCCAATCAGCCGGCCTTCACTGCGGCGCTTCGACCAATCAGAGCACGCCCTACCTCCTTGTCTCTCGCCCCTGTCACTCCCAGTTCCGTTGAACAGACGGACAGAGGGACTGGTCAATGAGAAGGCGAAAATGGCTCGGACTCGCCCAATAGCAGCGGGCGCGGGGGTCACAGCCGGCCAATAGGGCGGCGGGGGCGGGGCGGCGCGGCGCTCGAGCGGGCGGCTGGGCCCGGCGGAGGTGAGCGGAGGGTGGTGGGGCCGCCGGCTTGTTCTGGGTTGGGATCGAGCCGGGATCCCGGCACAGCTCGATCCCCCCGGGATCAGGCCGTGTTCCCAAGCACGCCTTGTTCCCCCCGAGCGCTCGGGCTGCCTGCGGCTGCCGGAGGAGGGATATCCCGCTCCTGTGTAATTTTTGTGACGGGTTCGTCTTTAAAATATGCAAGCTCTGTGAAAAAGACGGCAGAGATTTCCCGCTCGTGCAGCGTGTGTTTCGTTTGGTTTGGTTTGTTTTTCTTCTTGTTAATTTCACGCTAAAGCAGGTACGGCAGAAGCCCTGCGGGCGGTGCGGAGCGGGGCCTGGGTGCGCTCCGCAAGGGGAAGCTGCTGCTGCAGCCCTCAGAGCCCTCACAGCCCGCGGGTGCGAGCCCTGAGGCTGCCGGCCAGGCTCGGCCCTCTGGAAGCTCTCGGAATTTCTCATTTGGGCCCGGGAAGGCTGTCTGTGGGGACCCTCCATGCGGGCTCTTGCCGGGACTGCCTGCTAGGCAGCTGGCTGGCTGGAGGAAGCACTGCTCCTTTGGGCCGGATTCCAAGATTTAACCATGAAAATGCCAGTATTAACGTTTTTATAAATCTCACAGTTAATGTAGGCAATGGAACATGGTGTCCGGGGAAACTGTGGATGTCCCAACCCTGGAAGTGCTCCAGGCCAGGCTGGATAAGGCCTAGTGGGAGGTGTCCCTACCTATTCTTTATCTTTGACCAATCTTTTCCAATTCTCCCCCAAATTCTTCAAATTCTCTCCCATTATGTATCTTTAACCCATCTCTTCCAACCCCTTAACATCATGATTCTATGTTTGGTGAAAATAAAGGGTTTATTATGGTTATAGGTGGCAATTCTATCATGAACATGAACATAGGATTAGAGATGCAGTACTTGATTGTTGACTATTACCATGTCTTGGCCATGCAGCTGTTCTGGTGGGAGATGGTAACATCTATTTTTGGCCTAGCTTAGGCTGAATTGATAATCAGGATAGGAATGGTGAAATTACTCATAAGTTAGAAATTTTTAAAACATTATAAAAATATTTGAGCCTTAGTACAACCTTTTTTATTAATTCTTGTATACATTTTCTGCTACTTTTTATACACAACCAGCATTTGTTCTTTGTATACAGCCCTAGCTGTATACCTTCACCAGGTTGGTAAAACTGGTGTTTGTGTTTTGGGCTTCTAAATAGTGCTAAAAGCCAAGGCTTTTCAAGTTTATGATTGCTTAAGTACTTTTTGGAGAATGTGAATGATTTCCAGCAGCTTGCAGAATTTAATCCACACACCTCTTCCAATAAAGGACTTGTGAGTTTTTCGTGCATCTGTTCATTCAATGAATTAAATAATCTTGAACTATTTTGTTTGTGTTGTAAGAACAGTGTGACCAAAGTGCTCTTAATTTGATGGCGGACAGCAGCAGGAGAATTAATAATGCATAAGCTGTTGTCTCTGTTTTTCTTCAAACCCTAAGGTAGCACTCCTGTTCTGGAGGTAACCTGAAATCCATATGCCAAAGGTGTAGAAGGTCAACCATCCTTAATATATTTGCAGTTTTACTGCAAATTTCATGTTTATTAACAATTCATGTTATCCAGTCTTGGGCTGAATATGGATCCACAAATGCTGATGCTGCAGATAACTTGGTACCAGTAATTTCTCAGTCCTGTGTGCTGCTGTCATGCCCCTTCTGTGTTTGCCTGGTATTGGTAAATACCTGAAGGGCTGTTCAGTGCACTCCAGGTAAGGGTCACAGTGATCTGTTACAAAAAAGCAATTTTATTTGAAGAAACTTAAATGTCAGTCCACCTCCTGAGAGCAGTACAGCAAAGGACTGTGTCATAGAGCTTGTTTCTGGCTGTATCTGTGGGTGCTTGTGCAGTGCTGCTCACCTGGGAGAGTCTCGCAGATATTCCCAACTGTTCTTCAAGATCCACATGAATTTACTTGGCAAGTAAATGATGGCAGCAAGAAAACATTAACTTTACATAGTCATCCAAATGCTTATTTAAGTTGATTTTGCAATGTGCCTTTGGTGCTAGCTGCTGTCGAGCCAAGGACTTTGAGCCCAGGACTCCCGGGAGGGTGCTCCCAGTTCACATATATGTATTGACTTGTGGTTTAGCTCTGCTGCAAAGGACAACTTTTCTCTTGACTGAATTCTAAAAGCTTTTTTAATCACTGAGTGCTGGACCTGGTTCTTGCTACCCTCGGGCTACAGGTAGGGTACACTTATAATTAAATACTAGTTTTCTTCAACTCCTTGCAGAAATGGCTCAAGAAGAGATGGAAGTTGATCTCCATCCAGTGGCTGGTTACTCAGTGGAGACCCTCCAGACACATGCCCCAGAGCCCTCTGGTCACCCAGTGCTCTCATCCCTCATTCCTGTACTCGGTGAAGGAGGAGGCAGCGCTGCAGCCTTTCCTGCTGATGATGCTGTTGTCACACCCGACGCTGGTACAAGGGAAGCAGCTCCAGATCCTGTCCTGCAGACAGGTCCTGCCACAGCCCGCAGTGGGCTGGAGAGGCTACAAGGGGCGTTTGATCTGTACCAACCACTGCCTGTGCCACAGCTCACACAGCGTCCGCAAGTGAGGAGAGCTCGCAGGCAGCAGAGAATTGGTGGTTCCCAGAGGACAATCAGCACCAGGTAAAGCAGAAATGAAATTGGGTCTGAACTGCCCTCTGATCAAGTCCAGTATCAGTTCAAAACTTTCCTTGCTTCCTGGCTTACAGAGCCCAGCCCAAGTGTGTGGCTGGGGCCAAATCCAATCTACCTTTTAAGTTTCAGTAATAGCACAGTGACTTCTGGTCTCCTCTGGCAGGTTCTTTGCCCTTCTTAAGTGAATCCCCCTGTTTCATATGTTAGGAGGGGTAATGTTGACTTCTGAGCCCCAAAGCATTTTGAATTTTGCTTGCAGAGCCTCTGCTGCTGTTGCCTCCGCACAGACAGATTCCTGCCCATGATTCCTGCAGCAGTGCTGATTCTCAGCAGTTTGAGCCAGCATTTAGCTCAGTGGGGCTTGTGCTCTGATTTATATTTCACCTTTGATTTGGGATCTGCCTGATTACATTTACTGGTGACAGTTGTTACAGAAACTTTCACAAACATACAAACTAATACTTTTCTGTAGGGTTTTTTTTTAAATTTTGTTCTGTTGGGGGTTTTGTAGTTTGTTTGTTTTTTACTTTCAGACAAAATAAAAAATCCTCTCCATTTAATACCATTTGTACTGGGATTAAAGGGGGATGAGTGAGGATGCTCTCCAGCCAGAAAGAAATCCCAGTTCCTTGTTTATTTGTTTTTTGTCTCATCATTCTAGCTTTTGTATGTGCCAAGGGTGAAATTATAATTAACTGAAGCATTGCTTTTAAATTCAGCGAGACCAAGAGCTCCTCTCCTCCCAGTTGATTAAACAAAACTGTATTGTTTGCCCTCGGATTGCCTGTGAAGGTCACTCACAGTTGTGAGGGCTGGAAGGCAACCTGAGAAACTCCTTTGAATCTGAAGGATAATTGAGATGATAGCTGAACTGATGGGGGGGAGAGGGGAGGATGTTTCTATCTAGGGATGAAGTTCCAGTAGAAAAGAAGAGGAAAGTAGACTAAGAACAAAGTAGCCAATGGAATGAGGCTCTGATCCAAATGGTGTGCATTTCACAGTACCAGTTCCTCCAGGACCCAGGGCTGAGTTAGTGTTGGAGAGACAGATCAGGAGTTTCCCTTAGGCTTATTAGTGAATGATACTACTTTGTTTTTCTCCTCTCTAACCCCATCATCCCCTTCTCCTCCAAAAGAAGACAATATCATTGTTGTAATGAGAAGATTTTCTTTGAACTGAGCAAAATGAATTGTTGCTGATCCTGCTGATTGTTCACAAAGTGGGCTATCCTGTGTGATTGCCCCTCTACCAGAGAAGCCCTGATGTGATAACAGTGACACCTTCCTGCTGCGGTCAAAGCCTAGGAATTTTCCTGCAAGCATTCATGGAGAAACATGATGAGTCTTTAGCTTACCTGAAATGACTGTGGCTTTTGTTTCTTACTTTTCTGGACTCAGGGCAGCATTGGACCATTACTTTCAACTCAGTAGGACCCAAGAGCCATCTGCAGGACCAGTTCCACACCTGGAGTTGCCCCGTGTTGCGAGGGACACCCAGGAACAGCACCCAGACGAGACCATAGAAGTGAGTGACTCTGACAGCAGCACTTCCGAGGAGGAAGAGGAGGAGGAAGCAGTGGAGGCAGCAGCACCACTGTTACCATCAGCCCAGGAGACGCCTCCAGCAGCGAGCTCAGGAGGTTTGTGCTGTACTGGAACTGTGTAGAGACTGATGGCAGACACTTTCTTTGCTGTTTGAAAACACAGCAGGGAAATCCTTTCGAGCTTCCCAACAGACGGTGCTCAGAGATCTTTGTGCCCACAGCTGACAGGAGCAGGCTGCTGCCACACGGCTTCCTGGCAAGCAGCTCCTAAGAGCAGCAGCAGCAATGG